AAGACTTGAACGCCAGATCAAGTGAGAGACAACGTCAGTGACCTTGTCTAACACTGTGGCATAGTCACTCTAACAAAGTGTTAAATATATTACTTAGGCAATACATATTGTTTAAAATACCTATGAGATACTTTTATTAATCAGAGATGCAACTTAATATAAAATTAAGATATACACAATGTTGTTTCATCTCTACAAGCTGAATGGTGTAGATATCGATGTGTGTCGTTACATGAAAGTTCTTTCAGTTGTTGAAGGCATAGTTCGACAGAACGACTGTTACTCAGAGGATAAGTAGTTGAGAGTTACGACACTGTAGGGATATGGAATTTCAGTGAAGCATTTTGAGGAAAAAAATTTAAACCACCTACAAGACAAGTGATAATGTTTTGAAGTCCTCCTTAGCGGTGATTGATAATTATTGGTTTTACAGGTTATATTAAAATAAGGAACGTATGTCACAAACTTGCAATCACCATCATGCTGAAATGTTTTATTGACTAAAATAGTTCCACTTATTACTTGTGTAGCACATTCAGTTTATATGACTTAAAGTTACTATACACTTTGCAAGGATTTATATAATCTGAGGTAAAGATAAGGGAGACGGATATTAATTTTGATGCTTATCAGCAAGAACTTATATCTACAAAATAAAAGGCTGCTATTTTTTCATAAGTTATTTCTAACATTCTAAAAGCCACTAATATGTGGTCAGTTTTAGTGTTTCTAAATGAAAAGTTAAAAAAAACATGGATTTGGTTTTCTGAGAGAACAACAGCCTAGTGACTACATATGAACCTTTTCGGTAAATGTTGCCAATGGCCCGCCCAACAAAGTTACAGCGCATCTTGAAGATTGAACGTATTGGAAATCAAACAAATTGAAAAACTTACATTTAATGTGAAACGATTGATAAGTTTCAGCATATTTGCATCTGATCCACCAAAGGCTACGTAGTACGACCCAAGCCATTTCGCTACATAACCCTAAATATACAATGAAAGAATTGATTGCATCTGAATTAACTTTGAAAATCTAAAATGAATCATATACTATAATAAAAATATTTAATACACTAGGCATTCATCGCATATCAATGGCATGTCCTTTTAATTCATCAATTAGATTACTTTTTTTGGTACTTTTGTTTAAAAAAATTGACAGATTGGCTTTAGATAGGAACAATATACAATTCTAGTCATCTATTTATCGTTGACCTTATATATATATATATATATATATATATATATATATATATATATATATATATATATATATAATGTTCTTTTTGGTGTTTGGCTTATTTGAAAATAATCAAATTAACTCTTTGTTGTAAGATTTACTACAAACCTATATATTTGTTTTGTCATATTAGATAATATATTCAGTTATTGACAAGTAATTGTTTTCGCTTGCACTAAAAAACTTATTCAAATAAAATACTCTGTCAATGCTTTCTCATACGTGTTAAACCTTAAACGTGTTTTAATATTTTAGTCATATGATGTCTAATTTATTATTCAACAAAAAATGAATAAGGCTGATCATTTATCAGTCACATTTTCAATGTCTAGCATTGATCATTTTCTGATTGACCAAGTGAGATTTCTATTTGTGATTTCATTTCAGACTTTCTAGTAGTACACTGGTTGTTTATTCGTGGAAGAGTTTCAGATAACTCTGTGCCCTTGAAGTGAAATTTTTCAGTGAATGTTACTTTCCAATATGAAGCACTCATGGATTAAATGAATAGAAAATTGGATGAGTACCGGATATAACACACATATTAAACATCTAACATATAAACGTATAATCCAAGCCATAAACAATGATATTGAAAATGTTCACTTCGATTTAGTCTGAAAATTCTAATTAAAGATGACAAGTAAGCAGTGATGTTCTGCTTTTATGAATTATAAGAACACTGAAAAATTCATCGTTCCGAATATATGAAAAATCAACTAGTCCTTTCTAAAACTTCCGAAAGTGTAATACTAAGACATAGTTGGTGTGAAAAGTATATGATGTGTTCGCGCAACACATTTCGTTGAGTCTGATTACGACCACACCCAACAATTCATTTCATATGAAAGAAGGAAAGATCACTTAAATTAAAAGTGATAATTGAAAATGTGAGAGAAAGATTAGAATATTAGGCAAACAGAAAGTTTTCATATCACCGCTAGTGTTAAACATGAATTAGTTATTAACAAGGCAGGTTCAAAGGAAGAATAAACTGTTTTTGAACTTAAAAAAAAATAAGACTTTCTACCAGTCTAGGTATGGGTTCCTGGAAAATTTTCCATAGGAATTTAAAGGTTACTTTGAAATTTTTCGTTAATTAATCTCAATTTTATTTTCTATATTCGAGAGGTATTTTCGTCTATCCATGTGGATTACTTGAATTCGCTAAGTTAACAAATATTAAGAGCATTGTGGTTCATATTTTATCAATCTGAATTATTTCCCGCCTATTTCTAATTTTCACATAAAACTCTCTAATAAGCATTTAAAAAGACAAAAAATAATGTCGTTTCATTTGATCTAGAACATATTGTTAAATATTTACCAACCACCAACTTAACTCACTTACTTTACTCGGTCCATCATAAACATCTTGAGGTATCTCAGCTACTGGATTACTGTATTGTGAATCTTCAGTTTGATTATGAATCATTTCCTTTCCGGATGGAATCGACAATTCATCACCTCTTTGTTCAGCTACATTATAAAATTCAACCATAATTTCTTCATTAAATTTCCAAACCTTATGTAGATAAGTGAAAACAATTTATGTTTAAAATTGAATTCAATAATTTACAAAGGATATAACTTGCTCAAAAGTTTCTTACAGATATTCAGTAGTATTGCTGTATTTCATTATCAGTAGTTCAATGTTGATTTAGACTACCATAAAATTTCTTCAACTCATAAATACCTTTCTAAACGGCCAGAGTATAATATTGAAAAGATTTTTTCTATTTTTTTTCATTGAATCGAAAATATTTTGCAATTAGAGTTATGGAGATTAGTGTTTTTTACACATTTGAAATCATCAATCAATCATTGTTAGAGCACCATTAGAAACCTGGAAGCACTGGACGGGCGTTTTGTCCTGGTATGGGACTCATCAGCAGTGCGCATCCACGGCCTCCAGTGCTTCCAGGTTTCTAATGGTGCTCTAACAATGATTGACTGATGATTTCAAATGTGTAAAAATCGAAAATATATTTGAATACATTTCAGTACTGTATAGAATTGCACAATGATTTATTCGTATGATAGATGATATTCTTTTAAAAACATTGTTTCTACCACTTTTTCTTAATGAAACAGTGTCTTATACTGTCTAATTAATAAAATTTTTTATAACGGTCAGTCGTTTTGTGAGCTAAATTCTTCGTTCGATTCAGCAGTAAACGATGGTTGTTAGAGTAGTTGAAATTTGTAATTAAGGCTAGTAAATACTTATTGTTTACACTTATCTATACGACACCAATGAAATTTTCGGTCATACTGAAATGCGTAAACTTTTCATTGAATGAGTTGACACAATAGTCTCATTTGAAGTTATTAGTTGTACTATATTTACTATCTATAGCAAAGAACGAGTCGAATTACCTGACCTGGATTGAACTGGTGGTCACCATTCAACTCTGCTTATAAGAAGAATATGTATTGAAACAATTTTTTTCCAATCAAGAATGTAGTATTTATTGTAATTAATAAGACGAGATGCGCGGAATTTCTAGAAAATTGATTTGATTTTCCAAAATGTAGCTTTACTGAACCAATACGCAGTGTAGTTGTAGACTGACTGATTTTAGAATTAAAATAATAGATGCTGACAGTCAACTATAGTCTATCATCTGTTGTTATTTTAGAAATAACAACAGATGATAGACTATAGTTGACTGTCAGCATCTATTATTTTAATTCTAAAATCAGTCAGTCTACAACTACACTGCATATTGGTTCAGTAAAGCTACATTTTGGAAAATCAAATCAATTTTTCTAGAAATTCCGCGCATCTCGTCTTATTAATTGCAATAAAGACTACATTCTTGATTGGAAAAAAATTGTTTCAACACATATTCTTCTTATAAGCAGAGTTGAATGGTGACCACCAGTTCAATCCAGGTCAGGTAATTCGACTCGTTCTTTGCTATAGATAGTAAATATAGTACAACTAATAACTTCAAATGAGACTATTGTGTCAACTCATTCAATGAAAAGTTTACGCATTTCAGTATGACCGAAAATTTCATTGGTGTCGTATAGATAAGTGTAAACAATAAGTATTTACTAGCCTTAATTACAAATTTCAACTACTCTAACAACCATCGTTTACTGCTGAATCGAACGAAGAATTTAGCTCACAAAACGACTGACCGTTATAAAAAATTTTATTAATTAGACAGTATAAGACACTGTTTCATTAAGAAAAAGTGGTAGAAACAATGTTTTTAAAAGAATATCATCTATCATACGAATAAATCATTGTGCAATTCTATACAGTACTGAAATGTATTCAAATATATTTTCGATTTTTACACATTTGAAATCATCAGTCAATCATTGTTAGAGCACCATTAGAAACCTGGAAGCACTGGAGGCCGTGGATGCGCACTGCTGATGAGTCCCATACCAGGACAAAACGCCCGTCCAGTGCTTCCAGGTTTCTAATGGTGCTCTAACAATGATTGATTGATGATTTCAAATGTGTAAAAACACTAATCTCCATTACTCTAATTCAAAATATTTTCGATTCAATGAAAAAAAATAGAAAAAATCTTTTCAATATTATACTCTGGCCGTTTAGAAAGGTATTTATGAGTTGAAGAAATTTTATGGTAGTCTAAATCAACATTGAACTACTGATAATGAAATACAGCAATACTACTGAATATCTGTAAGAAACTTTTGAGCAAGTTATATCCTTTGTAAATTATTGAATTCAATTTTAAACATAAATTGTTTTCACTTATCTACATAAGGTTTGGAAATTTAATGAAGAAATTATGGTTGAATTTTATAATGTAGCTGAACAAAGAGGTGATGAATTGTCGATTCCATCCGGAAAGGAAATGATTCATAATCAAACTGAAGATTCACAATACAGTAATCCAGTAGCTGAGATACCTCAAGATGTTTATGATGGACCGAGTAAAGTAAGTGAGTTAAGTTGGTGGTTGGTAAATATTTAACAATATGTTCTAGATCAAATGAAACGACATTATTTTTTGTCTTTTTAAATGCTTATTAGAGAGTTTTATGTGAAAATTAGAAATAGGCGGGAAATAATTCAGATTGATAAAATATGAACCACAATGCTCTTAATATTTGTTAACTTAGCGAATTCAAGTAATCCACATGGATAGACGAAAATACCTCTCGAATATAGAAAATAAAATTGAGATTAATTAACGAAAAATTTCAAAGTAACCTTTAAATTCCTATGGAAAATTTTCCAGGAACCCATACCTAGACTGGTAGAAAGTCTTATTTTTTTTTAAGTTCAAAAACAGTTTATTCTTCCTTTGAACCTGCCTTGTTAATAACTAATTCATGTTTAACACTAGCGGTGATATGAAAACTTTCTGTTCGCCTAATATTCTAATCTTTCTCTCACATTTTCAATTATCACTTTTAATTTAAGTGATCTTTCCTTGTTTCATATGAAATGAATTGTTGGGTGTGGCTGTAATCAGACTCAACGAAATTTGTTGCGCGAACACATCATATACTTTTCACACCAACTCTGTCTTAGCATTACACTTTCGGAAATTTTAGAAAGGACTAGTTGATTTTTCATAAATTCGGAATGATGAATTTTTCAGTGTTCCTATAATTCATAAAAGCAGAACATCACTGCTTACTTGTCATCTTTAATTAGAATTTTCAGACTAAATCGAAGTGAACATTATCAATATCATTGTTTATGGCTTGGGTTATACGTTTATATGTTAGATGTTTAATATGTGTGTTATATCCGGTACACATCCAATTTTCTATTCATTTAATCTATGAGTGCTTCATATTGGAAAGTAACATTCACTGAAAAATTTCAATTCAAGGGCACAGAGTTATCTGAAACTCTTCCACGAATAAACAACCAGTGTACTACTAGAAAGTCTGAAATGAAATCACGAATAGAAATCTCACTTGGTCAATCAGGAATTATGATCGATGCTGGACATTGAAAATGTGACTGATAAATGATCAGCCTAATTCATTTTTTGTTGAATAATAAATTAGACATCATATGACTAAAATATTAAAACACGTTTAAGGTTTAACACGTATGAGAAAGCATTGACAGAGTATTTTATTTGAATAAGTTTTTTAGTGCAAGCGAAAACAATTACTTGTCAATAACTGAATATATTATCTAATATGACAAAACAAATATATAGGTTTGTAGTAAATCTTACAACAAAGAGTTAATTTGATTATTTTCAAATAAGCCAAACACCAAAAAGAACATTATATTTATATATATATATAAGGTCAACGATAAATAGATGACTAGAATTGTATATTGTTCCTATCTAAAGCCAATCTGTCAATTTTTTTTAAACAAAAGTACCAAAAAAGTAATCTAATTGATGAATTAAAAGGACATGCCATTGATATGCAATGAATGCCTAGTGTATTAATTATTTTTATTATAGTATATGATTCATTTTAGATTTTCAAAGTTAATTCAGATGCAATCAATTCTTTCATTGTATATTTAGGGTTATGTAGCGAAATGGCTTGGGTCGTACTACGTAGCCTTCGGTGGATCAGATGCAAATATGCTGAAACTTATCAATCGTTTCACATTAAATGTAAGTTTTTCAATTTGTTTGATTTCCAATACGTTCAATCTTCAAGATGCGCTGTAACTTTGTTGGGCGGGCCATTGGCAACATTTACCGAAAAGGTTCATATGTAGTCACTAGGCTGTTGTTCTCTCAGAAAACCAAATCCATGTTTTTTTTAACTTTTCATTTAGAAACACTAAAACTGACCACATATTAGTGGCTTTTAGAATGTTAGAAAGAACTTCTGAGAAAATAGCAGCCTTTTATTTTGTAGATAGTAGTTCTTGCTGATAAGCATCAAAATTAATATCCGTCTCCCTTATCTTTACCTCAGATTATATAAATCCTTGCAGTGTATAGTAACTTTGAGTCATATAAACTGAATGTGCTACACAAGTAATAATTAGAACTCTTTTAGTCAATAAAACATTTCAGCATGATGGTGATTGCTAGTTTGTGACATACGTTCCTTATTTTAATATAACCTGTAAAACCAATAATTATCAATCACCGCTAAGGAGGACTTCAAAACATTATCAGTTGTCTTGTAGGTGGTTTAAATTTTTTTCCTCAAAATGCTTCACTGAAATTCCATATCCCTACAGTGTCGTAACTCTCAACTACTTATCCTCTGAGTAACAGTCGTTCTGTCGAACTATGCCTTCAACAACTGAAAGAACTTTCATTTAATTAAACAGATCGATATCTACACCATTCAACTTGTAGAGATGAAACAACATTGTGTATATCTTAATTTTATATTAAGTTGCATCTCTGATTAATAAAAGTATCCCATAGGTATTTTAAACAATATGTATTGCCTAAGTAATATATTTAACACTTTGTTAGAGTGACTATGCCACAGTGTTAGACAAGGTCACTGACGTTGTCTCTCACTTGATCTGGCGTTTAAGTCTTCGGACATTTGATGCATTTTAGCATAATTATGGAATTGAAAGTTTCTGTAATTAACAGTGAATAAAAAATTGATCTCTCCTTTTGGTGTTGATTGAGTCAGACCTTTTGAATTTATATTGGAAAAATAAATGAAAAGCAGCTTTCATACTTAGAAGGAATAAACTAGACTAAGTGATTTTCTGTAGCCGACCACCAACAATTAAGAAAGAATATTATTTTAAGCGGAATCCAAACTTGTAACTCTGCCATTGAAAAGAGTTAACAGATCATTTAACAGCCTTCTCACAAATATGTACGATAGAAAATTTTTAGAAGGCAGTTAAGTTAAAAATGGACATTTCAGACCACTAGTCAATGAGGTAGAAATTTCCACATCACAGACTTAAGTTCGTATCTGTATTGTCTAAATACCGCAAACCACTTTCAGATTTACTTTACTTACTTACTTTCGCCTGTTACCCTCAATGGAGCATAGGCCGCCCACCAGTTTTCTCCAACCAACTCTGTCCTGCGCTTTCCTTTCTAGTTCTGTCCAATGTTTGTTCATTCTTCTCATATCTTTCTATATTTCTCGGCGTAATGTGTTCCTTAGCCTTCCTCTTTTCCTTTTACCTTGAGGGTTCCATATGAGGGCTTGTCTCGTGACGCAGTTAGGTGCTTTCCGTAGTGTGTGTCCTATCCACTTCCACCGCTTCTTCCTGATTTCCTCATCCACTGGAATCTGGTTTGTTCTCTCACACAGTTCGTTGTTGCTGATGGTGTCTGGCCAACGAATCCGAAGTATTTTGCGTAGACAGCTGTTAATAAACACTTGTATCTTCTGGATGATGCCTTTCGTAGTTCTCCATGCTTCCGCTCCATACAGTAGAACTGTCTTCACATTTGTGTTGAAGATCCTGATTTTGGTTTTGTTTGAAAGTTGTTTGGAGTTCCAGATATTTCTCAACTGTAGAAATGCAGCCCTTGCTTTGCCAATCCGTGCCCTCACATCTGCATCCGATCCACCTTTCTCGTCGATGATGCTGCCAAGATATGTAAAGTTGTTAACATCCTCCAAGGCATCTCCATCAAGAGTGATTTGGTTGGTGCATGTTGTGTTGCATCGGAGAATTTTGCTTTTTCCTTTATGTATGTTGAGACCTACTGCTGCAGAGGCTGCTGCTACACTGTAGCGTGTGCGATAGAAGAGCCAAGTCATCTGCGAAGTCCAGATCGTCCAGCTGCGTCCTAACTGTCCAGTTGATACCGTGATTCCCTCCAGATGTTGACGTTTTCATAATCCAGTCGATGACCAGGAGAAAGAGAAAGGGTAAGAGTAAGCAACCTTGCCTCACGCCGGTCTTCACCTCGAAAGAGTCTGTTAGCTGTCCTTCCTGTACGATTTTGCAGTTGAATCCATCATAAGAGTTCCGTATGATGTTAACTATTTTCTAAGGCACACCGTAGTGTCGAAGAAGCCTCCACAGTGTTTTCCTATCCACGCTATCGAATGCTTTCTCGTAGTCGATGAAGTTGATGTACAGTGGTGAGTTCCATTCAATTGATTGTTCCACAATGATCCGTAATGTAGCAATTTGGTCAGTACACGATCGATCCTTACGAAATCCGGCCTGTTGATCTCGAAGTTGGGCGTCGACGAAGTCCTTCATTCTGTTTAACAATACCCTGTTGAAGACTTTGCCTGATATTGAAAGAAGAGTGATGCCTCTGTAGTTCTCACACTTGCTGAGATCGCCTTTCTTTGGTATTTTGATGAGGTATCCTTCTTTCCAATCTGATGGTACATGTTCCTCATCCCAAATCTTCTTGAAGAGGATGGGAATTATTTTCGCAGTTGCTTCTACATCTGCTTTCATTGCCTCTGGTGGAATGTTGTCTGGTCCTGCTGCTTTGCCGTTCTTGATTTGTCTGATGGCCATACTGATCTCCTCAATCGTAGGTGTGCCAATATTAATTGGGAGGTCCGTGGATGCTGCTTCGATGTTGGGTGTGTTCAGTGGAGCTGGTCGATTCAATAGTTCCTGAAAGTGCTCTACCCACCTATTTCGCTGTTGTTCAGTGTTGCTGATTATTTTGCCTTCCTTGCTTTTCACTGGTCGTTCTGGTTTAGATAGTTTCCGGCGAGCTTCTTTGTTGTTTCGTACAATTGTCTCAAGTTTCCGTCTCTTGCAGCCTTTTCCGCCGTCATTGCTAGATCTTCCACATATTTCCTTTGTCGACTCTGATGCTCTTCTTCACTTCTCTGTTTGCTTCTGTGTATGCAGCTTGTGCCTTAACTTTCTCTGCTCTTGTTCGGCTGACATTCACTGCTGCCTTCTTGTTCCTCCTTTCTTCAATTTTTGCAAGAGTATCAACAGAGATCCATTCCTTTTGATGGTACTTCTTGTGACCCAGAACTTCGTGACATGTTGAAGTGATTGCCTCCTTAATCCCTTTCCAATTGTTCTCCAATGTTGCGTCCTCTACATTGAGTAGATCCTGAAAAGCCTGGAACCTATTGGTGAGGGCCACCCTGAATTCGTTGAGCTTTACAGTATCCCGAAGAAAGCCTGTATTGAACTTGTGTGATGTTGTCTGTCCCGTTGTGTTATCAACAAGTAATAATTCTTTACAGTTACAGCTATGTATTATCTTATTAAATTGTCGTGGATTAGTGAGACGTAAGGAACTTTGAGATAACAGATGTATTTGTTGTCAACTTTTGTATTGTCACCGCAAGTCTGTTCTTGGTAACGTGTCACTGTAATGTAATTTCATATCAATATTTGTTATCAAACTGTGCTTTAACATTTTTTTTCGAATAACTAACTATTCAGAATGTTGGATCTGTGACAAATTTGAAAAGTGGTATTTATTCCTTGGCCTTTAATGAACCAAAGACAAACGAAAGCATTTACAAACGTACACTACAAATTGCGTTCGCATCTGGTACTCGTGTTTATGTTGCTCAATTTGAACAAAAATAAATTTACAAAGATTTATTTTTTTTGCTGGAACGGAAACTTTTTATTGAATTTTATACGCACGAAAATTTTTCTGTCTTTTTTTATATGAACTTTCACTTTGTAGATTGAAACGATATTATTTTAGCATAGTCTGGTTAAATAAAATACTCTTATATTCCTTCAAGTTAATTGGACTTTTTATTTAATTAGCAAAGGTTTGATGGCAGCTGGCAATTAAATTCAGAATGCGACACACTGTCTATTGAGTTGGAATGAGAACACCAGTGAAGTACAAATATATCTAAATGACGAGTCCCAAAAGGGATGAAACGTGTATTACACTGATAACCATTATCGTACATCTCCTTAAAAATGCTTGCGATTTAGTGGCAACATCTACGCAATCTACTCGATATATACATACGAAAAAGGAGACAGATCATTTGCAGTTTATAACATCCACAACGAAAAAATTCAAAGTCTTATAAGTCTAATTATTTTGCTGATTGTTCTATAGTTAACTAATCTCTAATATTTTAAACTTAAAATGGAGGTGACTTTATTGGTTATTAGCCATAAGCGATACATAATAGACGTGGGCAACTCAATTCATCACTTATTATATCCTCCTAATGAAAACCACATTTTTTATGGTTTTAGAAAAATATCTAAAATGGAACTAAATCAACTAAATAAACCATCAAAAAACGTCTGATAGATATTTCGATTGGACTCCAATGTTAGAAGTAACTGATAATTTCCCCATTTTAAAGTTATGCTCAAAGGTAATTTATTCCGTTACATTTAAAATCTAACAAAACAGCGTACGAAAATTGACTGATTGTAATTGTTGTTGACAAATAGTTCGAACAATGTTCTGAGCTTATTCACTTAACAATAGGTTCTTGTTCGTCATCCTAAGAATTGGATGATGGTATTCGTTTTTGGGCCGATTAATATTGAGAAAACATGAACCGATTGCTAATTTTTTTTTACAATAATTTCAATTTCATTAAGACTTTAAGTTATTCTTAATTATTTAGGCTTGAATCCATGAGAAAAATGTTTTAGCTAGTATGTTACTGGCTACTTTTTAAATCACTATCAATAGGGTAATAAAAACTCTTGACGATCTTACACATGATGGTAGATACAAACCAGTAATTAACTATCAAAATTGTCTACATTAAATAATGGTACTATTTGGGTGAATAACATTATTGTTAGTGTTGATTTTTAATCACATACATAATTTTCCAGTGTGATTTTATATTCCTAATCAATTTGGAATGAGTTGAATAAATGTGTATATGGCAACACTAATATCCATATAAACAATACGCAGTCACTAATAATGACTACTTTTTGAACAGTTTAAATGATAAAGCTAAGTAAGATTATAATATTTGATTGATTTATTTCTTTGTTTAATGGTTCGCTTATGCAACTGATAAACATTTACAGGCAATATGCAATTTATTAGTGTGAAAGTAAGATCACACTAACCTGTGATGATAATAATAATCCATCAACTTAATCTGCTCAGATTAACGTACTACTTCCGACCCGAGACTGTGACATGTATACGTAGAAAGAAGTTCACTTAGACAATTAATTGATATTTTGACAATTTTCAAACAGAAATCTCGGTAGAGAAAAGTGCGGAACATCATATCTTGTAGCAGCACGAGTAACGAATATGCACAACTTAATGATCAAAAATATTGTATCATAACCGTTGTGAACTATTTATATTTTGAACTTTGAAAACTTCGGATATCACTTATTAGTTTATCATTGGCAAAGCCTTCATGTCGGCATAAACCGGTATAGTCTTCGGTTGGTCTTTACGGTTGCACATTTACCTTAATTTCAAATATTTGACTAATTAACATCGATATATTTTGCGTTCATACTAGGAGCGAAAAGTGGTATAACTCTGGATGACTTTGTTATTGGCAATTGATAGGAAATACTGGACGATGATTTCGTCTTAGGTGGTAATTGTCAGCTGAGGTACCCCCTATAAGATTTGAACCCTAGTAACCCAACTTTACGGTCTAAGATATTCAGGCCGCTATTGATCCGTTATAACTCGTACTGTATTTATAAGAGATTTTCATTTTTTTTCAAAATCTCACCATCAGAACATATTAAACATATTTTCATTGGTTAAGTATTGAGTCTTCTAGATTGAAATAAATTTGTATACATACTTGTAGCGTGAACTAGCTTTACATTGTGTACATAAATAATAGAAAACATTGAACAGGTAAGCTACAAACTGACTGGTAAACTTAACATTTAAATCGATCTAAACCATGTGGCTAACTAATTTCTAACCAATGAGTCATTTATGCTAATCCAGAAAACAGTAGAACTATTCATCTTCGAAATAATAATAAAGCATTCACTAGTCGTCTTATTTGTGAATATTACAAATAAAAGTTTTTTGAATTACTGTAAATACATAGACCACTACTGAGACGAATAAACAAAAATTGCTGATCCGTTTTACTGAAAAATATCATAATGGTTAAATCACTAACTCCTGACTTAGCATATACCATTATTTGGTATATAAAGGAGCAGTGGCTCAGTAGTTAACGTTCTCATTACAACCACCAGGTTACAAGTCCGAACCCCGCCCCACCTACTTGGGTTTCAGAAACCGTATAGTATTACTAGACCTCGTACTTAGGACGTGGTCCCGGGCCATGTTCATGGATCCATACCTATTAAATAGGTTGATACATATACATAGAGAGAAACGGGCATATATTCCAAACTTAGATCCCTTAATATGAAAAGATTACCATGGAAAACGATCAAAGGTAGACACAAGGTGCAAAAACTATGTTCCGTGAACTTGTTTGATTCATTAAATTTTGCACGAGTTTTACAAAGGATTATTTATTCTACAAGTAAAATTAATGTAAATCACCTACTAGGCGCATGTTTATGTATTCAACTTAGAGCTGTAAATACCTTATACATTAAACCTATTGACATGCTTTATTTTGCTTATCCAGAATTTACAATCCACAAAAGCATGAAACGTTAGTCAGCTTTCTGTTCAAATTACTTAGATGACCAGAAAAAGCCAAATGCGAATCCTTTGTCAATAAAAAAAACGTTAAGAGAGATCGTAATTGATCTCTAACAGTCGAAGTTGTAGATTTCATCTTCAAGATACTGGTGTGTTGATGTTTAAACTACCGCTTGCTTTATTAAACATTGTGTAGCTTTAGCGGGTAACTGAGTATTATGAGAACTACTATGAATAAACTGTGCAAGTTAGGTTCCTTTAGTTGAGACTGCTATACAGAGCGATGTGAATTAGATTATTTACTGACATGTTTTAAATAATGTTTTCTAGGATATACAAAACGTCTAAATCTACGCATATTGGAAAAATAAGCTAGTCTACAAACAGGTAATCGACTACAATTGCCTCAAATGCAGAATACGCTTTGTCCTTTAGGTTGTTCAAGGTCGTCTGAACCAAAAGAGTAATAATGACAATCTAAGCTGATGCCTATTGTATAACATTAGTTGCTTGTTCAAGGAGATGTTGAAGCAAAAGAAAAAAGAACATCATGTATACGGTCCTTTTCGATGAAGATGAACAGTCATTGGCATCGATGAGGGTTCACATCCAAAGTGACTTTATGAGTTTTATAACTAATGAAAGGAAGACAGGAAAATTATTGTTTGTAAAACCTATCCTGTTAGTCAGTGAAGTACACAATACTTTGTACTCTTACTACAATTACTAATATTTGTAATTCCATGAGGTTAAAGTAAGGAAGTATTACATTGTATATTTTTTTTAAAAATAAAAACACCATATACTCATGATTAATGTTAAATCTATGCATAAAATTAACATTAAAGAGACCAGAGATATCAAATCAAATCAAAGTTGCATAAATTCCAAGAAGATTAGCAGAAAAACATTTTTTTTAAAAAATTATCACAACCTCTACATCAAATAGAGTATTTGGAATTAAGTGATCAAAATACAATCAGTATATATAAAATGTACACATAGACATTGTGTGTGTGCGTTAGGTGTACACCATTGATGTGGAATTGACAATATATAACAATCAATTAAAATCCCAACGAAGAAATAATCAAATGTGAAATATTGGATATGAAGTAAGAAGTGAGAAAAACAACTCCAAAACCAAAGAGATTGTTTTATTTTCTTATGAAAAAAAAATATTGTTAAATAATCCTATGCGCATACATTAGTTGATATTGTTTGTATGTGACAAATATTTCTCCCAGTTCTCTAACACCTGTTGTTGTTCAGCAGATATATATGTATATATAGAAGATAATGTAGAAAAATAGTTAGTAAGTTTATCTCGAATTTAAAAACATTTGTCATTTTTCAAGATAGTGTTATACTTACTTGTTCAATGTTTGGTTGGAAGATGGTAGGGAAATAATTATCATAAAAAAGGTGGGTTTTCATAATTTAAATTATGGACTGATTTTAGCCAGACAATTATCGAAAACCTACCAATCACAGGACAACAGTTATTCCGTCTTAGTATGAAACTTTTCTTTGAGTATGCATTTACGACCAAATCATGGATTGAACCGAAGAAATTCAAGTCTCCTTTCGGATGCCTAACTTTGAGACTATTAAGTTTACATTTAGTGCTCTCTGTGTCTAACTTCAATCAATTCACAATATCATGCAAACATATTTCGATGCTAACTGTGAGTACCGTCTGCCTGATATTCAACATATTTAAACTCCCCTAGTCATAGCTTCTCACTAGAACTCGGTGAATTATCTTTTGCAATTAGCCAATGACCAGTTGGTATAGTTTATATCATGGAAATAACTTTTAATTGCTCTCCAGTTCGTGAGGAAAATAATTGTTGTAAACAACAGATTAACTTTTCACTAATAATAACAATAATTTAAGACTGATATTCATCATAAGCCAATTGTGTGAATCAGAAAAGTATCATTGAAAAACCATGGTTTATATGTACATATATATATAATAAGCATTAGCAAACTGTTTATATAAATTAAACACTTATATGTTGCTTGTATATTAATTATAAGAAACAATATTCACTTACTTTTAATTGAATTTGTAATAACAATTCTAAATAGTCAGTAATAGCTTGTTTGAAATAAACAAAACGATTC